TTGCTTCTAAGCTTATTTGTTGCTTTCTTTGTTGCTGTTACTTTTCCTTAGTGTAGTCAAGAGTGTTATCTATTGCTATTAGTGCAGAAAGTTGATTTCTTTTTTCATCGGTTTTGTGTCCAAGTGATCGTCGGAGAGAGTGTTATTAATGTTGTTAATGATTTTTATTACATTATTTCTATTCTTATAAAATTCATTCAAATCCTAATATTTATCTTTCTAATTTCTTTTTTTTATTTTTTTGTTATCTAATTCAGAATTTAACTTTTTAAATTTTTAATCTAAATAGCCTAGTGTAATACACAGTGCCTCTTGATATAACAGACCATTGATATAACAGATATTGCTTAATATAGAGAATTTTAATGAAACAAAATTATTACTAATAAAATTATTTTGATATATCAGAGATTATTAGTAATCTTATGATATAATTTATAATGAATTTTGATTTAAAACCAAAATATGTCAATATAATAAAAAATCTCTTGGTAAAGTGGATTTTATTATTTGTAGAAAAGCATTTATATGATGGGTTAATTTTGTAGATCTAATCATAACTTCCTAATTAACCAATCAGAATATATAATTATTAAAAAATGTTTTTAGATACTATAAATGGCAAAACTGTAAGTTGGGCTAAAGGCAACTCTACTAGAAGTGTGAACAAGATTTGACAAGTATAGTTTTTATTTTATTTGAGCTGATACTTGAGTTTTTGCTTAACAACTTTAACAGATTTTTAAAATTACTACAACTGTTTGTATAAGGGTGTTCAATCTTTCTAATTACTTTAAGAGCTGCGAAAGATAAGTTTTTCTTTATTATACTTGTTTTGCTTTTATACATTTTCATTTTACTAATTAATTACATTATTTTTAAAATATTATCAGTTTCTCTTTATTATTTTTTTACCACATTTACAAGATTTAATTGAGTACTTTGGGCCTCATGAGTAAGTTTCACTTCTAGTTGTCTATTTTTAAGTCTTTTTGCTAACAATGCTGTTTTTTTATTTTCTCTAACACAAATCTTCCAACTGGCTACTTCGTTTCTGCCACTTTGAAACCTGGGTACCGTGATCTTATCTCTTTCCTAATTAGGCTTTATATGCTAATCGTGCAATGTCTGAATTGTTAGAAGCAATTATGCATGTTTTGTTTATTTTGGATAATTACGAATATATGCATCGATCAGAAACTTGGGATATAATTGTTAATTATATTATATTGAGTTATAATCTTTAATCACGGTTTACTTTACCTGTAACAATACCTTTACTCTACGATACAATTTGATATTGTCTAAACATGTCTTCTAAGTAAAGTTTTTATAATTATTAATAGCATTTATGTATAACGAATTTTTGTTAGTGAAATATTATGTTTTTAGAAAGTACTTTAAAACATAAAATAAATTATCCAGGCAATTGATTTTCTTCTGCAATTATACAAATGTTTGAGTATTATCTCAATGCTAGCTAATTATGTTGAGAAGAATGACCTAAAAATAATCACCTACAACTGGATTTTGTGCTCAATTTAAAGGTCAAACCAGTTATTATAATTTAAGTTTAAATTTAGATTAACAAATAAAC